TTTGGAGATGCTCCCTGAGTAAGGAAGCTGTTCCCCCCCCCCCAGTATGAGGCCTGACTTCTGCAGCTAGGTCTACACAAAATAAATCTGTGACTCTCAAGGTATAAACCAAACAGCATCCCAGAGCAAAATGTTTTGCCCCCTTCTTTCCGCCTATTCCAGCTCGCTGCCTTATCCTTTGCTGCAATTCGAATACATTTCCACAATTCCTCTCCCGAGTGACAAGGCATTGCTGAGCAGTGGAATTGTCAGCACTTTAGAAGCCAACGGCGACTGTCTATATTTACAATAAAAGCAACATGAAGCAGCATATCCTTGCCCAGAGGGCTGCAATTAATCACTGATCTGCAGCACTTACAGGAAGCACTGTTCACACCCTCTCTCTTCTCTCCCTCGCACGCTGGTTTCCAAAAGGACATGACACACTCACAATCATTGATGAATTGGCCATCACAATGCTCAAACTGTCCCAGATACTCATATCCTGATTAACTGCGCCCGACTTAACAAATACAGTGAAGCACACCTCTAGTTTCGTCATGCGGAGCAGGTGGCAAAGATCCATAGATTAACGGTCATAGGGATTTTTCACCCATTCATAAATTATAAGATCACTCGCCTCAATGGAATATAATAACTTACATTACATGCAATAAAGTCATAGTTCACAAAATAAACCATGGTTTTTCCTTGTTGTGACTCTCACTCACACACTCTCTCTCCCCCCCTTCCACTCTCTCTCTGGCTAATTCCCTTCCACCTCTTTGCTGAACCTGTGGTCAAAGAGGTAAAACATTTATTGGTTTACTTAAAAACCTTGAGGCTAATTTGTTTTCCTTTTGGAATAAGGCCAATAATCCTAAATGCATTGGACTTTACGCACCCATAATTCTAATAAGATTCTTGCTTGATACAGAGGACGCTCCTTTTTCTGCCCAACACTTTTCACACGGCGGAGAAGAAGTTTACATTACCGTCTAATTTGTGGTTTTTGGGCAGCAACCGAGCTGAGTTACTCATCGTGAGCAGAAGCATCCTAGTGTTCTCAGTAATGTCCTCAAAAGACGTCAGTCATCTGCAATGTTTCTCTTTGGTTGTTAATGAGTTAATTAAGAGCACCTGCCATTCCCTCGTCGCACATACACTTCCCCACGGTTAACCCAACGGGCAGTAAAAGAAAGGTTTGTTAAAATCAGGATTGCAGCAGATTGATTGCTTTAACTGGCTGTATTCTGCCCACAAAGCACACAAACCAATCCACTTGGCAGTGCATCCTGCGGGGCGCTTTGAGACGTCCTCCTGATGTGAAACGTGCTTAATACCAAAGAGTGTCATCTGAACTGTGGCAAGTTGTTGGACTTAAATCCTAAAAAAGCAAATGTGCAGCCGTCCCTGACACTGTCTGTGTTCCACTGGTGACGATGGGATTCGCCATTTCTTCAGGGGTTACGAGTGCCAGAGATTTGAATTAGAATATCCTTCCTCGCTGCTGAAATGTTCTTTTAATCTTGTCAGATCTTCCAAAAGACCACTTATTATAATAATCCCTAATGCATCTGATACAAGGCCTCATCGCGTCTTGGAGACGTCTCAAAGCGCTTCACGGGATACAGCGTAAAGTGAATTGACTGTGAATATTTGCGGGCCAAACGCGGCAGCCGATTGCGCACAGCGGCGTCCCACAAACAGCCGTGGATTGAGGGACCAAATAGTTTTTTTTTTGCCACTAGGGGGCCGTATTTTGGCCCAACTCGCTCTTAACATCTCCGATCCGCAGCTGAACCTGTCGGAGAGACTTTTTTTTCCCCGACTGCAATAAACGTATCGTTTTAAATCTTCTGACGATTAAGATTGAAATAATAAACGTGCAGGTGGCGGGTGTTACGGTGACATCGATCATTACACGGGAGTAAAATACAACACAATCCTGAAAGAGACTTAACAGAAGAGGTAATGTCACCTCTTTAACTGCCTGTTTAAATGGGTCCTGGATCCTCGCTGGAAAGTGTTATTTTACACTTATATAAATTAACCTTTTTTTTTTAAGAGAGTCCCATTTGTGAAATTCAATCTGGTGGGGAGTGAAGCTACCAATCACACCCATGGAATGAATTATAATCCCTGCCAGTATTACCTATTACATGCTCACATCAGTTTTACATTACAATTTTCATAACATAGTCATTTTGTTTTACGGCCTCAAGGCTTGTTTGAGCTTCCCGATCGGAGATAGCAATGAAACAGATTTAATGTTACAAGGATACATTAGCGGCCCTGATGGCTGCAGTATACACCATTAAAGGGGCATTGTCGCCTGCGGTAAAACAGCTTGTAAGATGCTACGGTGTTTGCACAGACAAGGACGGAAATTTCAGCTGTGCTGAGTTTGCGAGACCATTTGGTGTTCTAATCTAAACGAGCGCTGAACTAATTAAGGAAGATTCTTAAATCCCATCTAAATCGGAAGCCAGTTTTCTTCAAAATAGCGACTTGCTTCCAAATTAAGGCTGAGTTTACGTCTTATTTCCACACTTGCTGCGTAACCCTACATCTTAAAACAAAGTTGTCTCTGAATTGTGTTTCGGACCTCATACTCAATCAACTGAGTGTCCCAGAATGACTCTATCCTGGAATGGGCCATTCATCGTGGTGGATTAGTGTGGAAATATCCGAGCTTTTACTTGGAAGGTTTGAAATCTTTCTCTGTGTTCTCCTGATTTGCTCAGGTTTAGATGCTGTATGTCAATCTGTCGCCAGCCTTCCGTCAATATAACTGTGCACCAACCGTCAGGAGGCTAAGGGTGATTCTCAGTCCAACTACCCTTTTTTTTGGTCAGCCGGGTGTCTGACACATGTGGCTTAAGAGTCTCCAAACCAAACTGAGAATTCCATGTATCCCACCTACACGTGGAAATCCCAGAGAGAGATTGTTGGAATCAAATGCGTTCTCTCTCTCTCTCTCTTTCTCTCCCTGGAGGGACACCTCCTGTTTACCTAATTCTGCAAAGTATTAGGTGCAGGTTGGCAAGAGCCAAGGCTCGGAGACCCCAGAGTGTGCTTTGGGGTAACTGCTGGAGACTGACCAGCTAAAACCACAAAGCTTGCCATTGATATCACTGTCTGACAAGCTTTCCCACTGTTTGTCCGGCAAGGACATAAGGGCTTTGGCTTGTAGGGTTAACAGGAGCTGCGAGGCTGGGGTCATATCAGTGTCTCATCATTGCCTTGCGGATCTCCTAATGGGTGTCAACCAGACGAACTGGTGACACAAGTCCTTAAATGTTTATTGCACCGTAAAAGGATAAAACTAAGATCTCAATTTGAAAATGGTGTTACAGCAACATGCTTTGCAGAACTGGCTCCAACTCAAACATTCCCCACTTGTGACCAACATGGGAGGCCTTTGAGCAGATATTCTCTCAGGCCACAACAGCCGAATATCCTTATCTAACTAAATGCTAAGTGCCAGCTCGGCTGAATTCCACACACACACACACTTCCACCGCTCACTCCTTACAGATTACAGAGGTGCCTCTCCTGTGTCCTCCATCTCCACTTCGCTGAGCAGCCAAACTCTTGCGTTTCAGCACAAAAGGCCTTTTCTCAAATGAAAACCAGATGTCAATACCCAACACTTCTCATAATATTGCTGCCAGCATTGCAACTACCTTCTAAGTGGTGAGATGAAACACAATCGCAATTTGCAACTCAAGAGCTGGTACCAGTAACTAACACCTGATGTGAGAGTCATCGCAATTTAAGATTCACTGCCTACCCACCATGTATACTCAGGATCACCTTCTCAAGTCCTTCCACCTCCCCACTTTCCTCTCCACCTTTATAGTCCACCTTATGGTATCCTGTAGCTCAGTGGTTAGAGCCCTCGCCTCGCAAGCGAGAGGACCTGGGTTCGATTCCCGGCCAGGACAAAACATTGGGCAAGTTTCCTTACTCCACGCACCTGTTTGCCGAGCGGGGAGTAGGAACCCTGTTAGTTGATTGGAGGATCACTATTGTCTATCATGGGCAACGTGCACCTACCTGTCTGGGTAATTTGAGTTGCATTACTGAGCAGTTTCTATCTGCTTCCCAGGAGTATCATTATCTACCTGGATCACAGCCCATCTGCTTTGTCCTAACAAGCGTTGCTCATTGGGGTTCAGTTACATCATGGCATTTCTTTGTCTTTGTGGGTGAACTCTTTGTTTCATTAAAGTTGAGGTTTATCAGGGCCACAGAAATAACTGAAGTTAACTTTGAGCGTCCAGTCCTATCACCCACAGCTCCCGACCCTGAGCAGAATAACCTTATGCTCTGTGTACATACGATTAACCGTTATATGAGTAATCCCTCTATTTCACGCAGTGGTTTTCCGATCGGGAAGTTGCAGCAGCCAATTTGCACACAGCAAACATCCACAAAGTAAATGGCCAATTTAATCTGGAGGATTGTTGGCTGGGACATCGGGAGAAGCTCTTTTCTCTTTTTGAGTTGTGGATCGTTGATGTCCACCTGAATAGACAGCCAGGCAGCCAGCCAGGAACCCCTCGGTTTAACATCTCCTTCGAAGGACAACTCAGGGCAAAACCCAGCAAAAAATTGGTGCGTCAGTCTAGAGATGATGTGAGGGTAAACTCACATGATAGCGGGATCAAGAATGTTACCTTTGGTGCCTAATAGCTGTGAGAGCTTACGTTTCACAAAGACCCCCTTTAATGTGGTCGGCTTAGCTCCGCCAACGCAGTTATCGACCGGTTTAAAACCACGAGCAGCATGGCCTGTGACGTGATAGTTATCACTGGTGATAATAGCACATCACACTGCCAATGCTCCCACCCTGTGTGTTTGTTGGCAATCATAAGAACATAAGAATCTGTTGGCGAAAGAAGACCGAGGTCCACCTAGTTCGCCTTCCACCATCCTGGCAGCCGCTTGACATGTCGTGTCCCAAACTATACGCTGTAATCACCCTTTACATCTGTACTCCTGAAGTCTCGGCATACTGTCCAATAGGAGGTTTTTATTTTAAAAGCACATAGACAAAAATACAGCTAAATACAATCGAGGAAAAACACAGTCAAATGAAACATTTTGAAATCTACAAAAAAAATTTAAATGATTTGAAAGCTAAACACAACTTTTTTTTTACAAGAACATAAAAAATATACAGGACTAACAAATGATGTATTGTGATATTATGGATGCAAGTGGTTCGAGCTGTAGGTTTTTAGGTTAAAAAAAAATCCAAAAAAATTATTTTCCCCTCCCTATTCCCCCTCCAAAAAAAAGCTTAAAATAGTTTAGTTGTCTACGTACAATTTTTTTAAAAAAAAAACAATGCTTTTTTTTAAGCAGCACTTTGTAAATAACACAGGTCGAGACACATATAAACAGTTTTAATGGCAGTGGATAAAATATCTAAAAAATAAGTTGCTTCGGAAATAATATTTTACATAGTTATCTTGTTTTAGTTTTTTTTATATATTTATATATAAAATATGAAGGTTTGAAGCGGAAGTCCACTTGTCATTTACAATGAAACGCCCTCGGATTTTCCTGCAGGGTGACGAGTTTAGTTCTGATTGTTGTAGGGTGTTTTTTTTATATATATAAAACGTATATAAAAAACAAAGAATTCTTTTTTTTTTTTTTGCAGATTGTTTTGTTGGACAAAACTTATTTCCTTTTCACCTGCAAGTCAGCTTAGACCAGCCTGAAAGAAATTCACAAGCTTTTTAAAAGTTTATATTGCCTTCCGCACGTGTGTTTGTGTCCGCGTGTGTGTGTGTGCGTGCGTGCGTGAGTGCATGCGTGTGGGTGCGTGTGAGATGTGTGTGGCTTAGCCATTTGGGTTAGAATTGTTGCTAAGGTACATCCACCCCCCAAAAGAATTGAGGGTAAAAAAAAATAGTCTTTCTCCCCTACATTCTACTGTCTGATGAGATTAGTCAACAGCAAAACCTGCTGTTCCTCAGTCACTATTTTAGTTTTTTTTCATTCTCCGCACCAGCTTCATTCCCTCTCGTTTTCTTTCCTTTCCTTTTCTTCTCGTTTCCTTCGCGTGTGTTTTCTTATTTTCTTTTTAATTCGTAAATTTTAAAAAAAAGGAGCTTCTCTTCGCCTGGTCTGGAACCCGCACGGTTAACACATCCCGTGGTGATTGTTTCGGTCGATGATGTCCACGGGTGTAATGATCTCCCTTCGGCCTGGGGGAGCAGGGATTTTCATCTTGGGCTTGAAAAGGTTGGAGACGTAGAAAGCCTGCGGGTTTAGAAGAAGAGGCCAAGGTGAGACAACAGTGACGACGGCAACTTGCATTTATTTATCGAGCTCCCTTCACAGTGGAATGTAGGGAAGACATTTTTTTCTCTGGACATAGAAACGTAGGAACAGGAGTAGTAGGCCATTCAGCCCCTCGAGCCTGTTCCGCCATTCTACGCTATCCTGGCTGATCTGTACCTCAACTCCAATTACCCGCCTTTGCCCCATATCCCTTGAAACACTGACCTCACAAACATCTAACCACCTCAGCCTTGAAAATGTGAATGGATCACAGCACTTTTGGGGGGAGAGAGAGAGAGAGAGAGAGAGAGAGAGAGAATTCCAGATTTCCACAGACACCCAGCAAGGGAGAGGGGAGGTGGCTTTGGCATGTTGAAAGAGGTAGGATTTGAGCGGGATTTCCCCCACATTACTCCACATCGGGTCAAGTGCGTCGGGCAGTACGAGGACGCTGAGCTAATATTGGTTGAGTGAGGTTCCAACATCATTATTCCCTGCGGTGATTCAATGAACAAGTCATTTCAGTTGAATGTTTAAATAAATTCAGCCCACTCTTACTGCCGGCATCTGGAAATATCCCGTGGCCAGTTTCCCCGAAAAACTCATTGCTCAAACGTATCTGGTGGGCAATGTTCATCAGAGTTGCTGGATTGTGAATGGCTCAGCATAACCCCCGGTGACCCTACACTGTTTCTTTCTACGCAGTTGTATGAAATGAGAGCGAAAACATTTTTCCTCCCCACGGATAAGATTAATACACGGCAAACCTTATTGTGTTATGAGCAACTTCCTGCTGATTGTGAAATTTATTAGGAAAGTAAAGGGTAACATTTCTGGCAACACATCAGCCAGTTACTCAGTCACTACGCCTTTCTGTCCAATCAATCCCTCCACCTTGCCCTCTCCTGCCAATTTTCTCAGAGTCTGTTATTTAGGCTTCTTCCTAATAGAATCCAACCAACATATTCAACAAGCTCACACCTCTGCACATTGCCGTGACCCTAAATATATAAATAAATGTATAAATATTTATAATATAAACATATATATGAATAAATATATAAATGATAAACGTATTTTGGAGCTATAGTTGCCTCGACTACATCAGAGACGATGCCTATAACCTCTTTAAGGATAAAACGAACCTGAAAGCCATTTGGATAGTAATAATAATAATCCTTGCATTTGTTATAGGGCCTTATCACGTCTTCGAGACGTCTCACAGCGCTTTGTAGAATATACCGTGAAGTGAATTTTGTGAGCGAAAGTCTAAAGGGTCTCTGCAGTGTATTTGATATAGGTTACACGTGATTGAAGTGGAGCACTGTGTGCCCAGCATATTTCATTTAATATGGAGATATTGTTTCCTATCCCTGAATTATTTATCCGTTTTGCAACTCACGGCTGCAATTGGATAAGTGAAGCTAATGTGTCATCTATTACATTGTGCTTCAAAGCCTTACGATGAGTCAAATGTCTGGGCTTTGCATTGCACACACACACACACACCCACACACAAATACACACACCACACCCACACATACCAACACACACACACACACACACACCACACACGCTCACACAGTGTCAATGAGTTCAGTTAATGTTGAGAGTCCCGGTCGGTCGAGGTCCCAGACTGGATGCTTTGCTGTTTCTCACCACAATGCTGACAGGTTAAGTCACAGCTGCCATAGATGGCCACGACTGTACTAACTTCCTGGCTCTCCAATGGTCTCAGCTGACTGAAGGTTAGGAGGAGCCCCACATCTGACAATGCCAAGGGACAGGAGGGAAGCGGAAACTCTTAACAGGGCACTGGCCTGAACAGGAAACTTTTGCAGCTTCCACTGCAAACCTTCTGTTTTTATCTTGTAAAACAATAGTCACACCAAGTGGATTCACAGCGAATTCTTCAATGGACACAACGCTCATCGAATGTCTTTGAAGATCGGGTGGCAGCTGATACTAATTCTCACTAATGAATCCCATTTATACGATCACCAAAGGTCACAAAACCCACGCAGTCACTCCACTCTGCAGTATATCCCGTGAAGCGCTTTGGGACATGAAAGGCGCTTTACCAAATGTAAGGATTATTTATGACTGCAATTTAAAACACAAGACTAAAAGAGGTCAATGTGACCATTACACACCAAAAAAGATTGTTGCGAAGATGAAAATACTCTTCTGCTTAATTTAACTTTCGCTTTTAAAATCTAATGACGTCCTTTATAGATAATCCTAGCCTGAGGTGTATGTAGTCTGACACATACAGAATGCTGACTATGTCTAACCAGCGTACGCGAGTAGACATAAGACAAGGTACTAGGAATGTCTTAAGGATACTAACAGCAACCAGTGAAGCCCACTTTATGGATAATTTCAGTCTTTGAGAACACCTCCACAGACATCCCAGTCAAAGAAAGTTTGCAGCCCTCTCTCTCTCTCTACTTGGGATTTGAGTCACAGGCATTCAATAACAATAATAATAAACCTTGCATTTGATATAGCGACTTATCACAGCTTCAAGACGTCTCAAAGCACGTCGCAGATATACATTTTGTGGGCGAAATGCGGCAGCCAATTGTGCACAGCAGCGTCCCACAGACAGCCGTGGATTGAGTGACCAATTTTTTTTAAGGGATTATTACCCCTGGCAAAGCAATCCGCCAATCAACTAACAACCGGGTTGCTACTTACTGCACGGTAAGCAGAGGCGTGTGTGTGTGTGTGTGGGGGGGGGGGGGTAAGGAAACTTGCCTACGGTTTCGCCCTGCCTGGGAATCGAACCCCACATCCTCTCACTTGCGAGGCGAGTGCTCTAACCACTCCATATCTCGAAGGATTCCATATCAGGGCTATTCCACATGACTTAACCAAGTAAAATGGCTCTGCAGCCCCTTTGCCCCTCACATGTACTGTACAGTAATACCAATCCCAATTCGCTACTGATAACCTGCGATGGCTTTTTGCCTCTTCCCGATCCCCACCGCCCCACCCAACCCCAAACCATATAAGCAGTCACTGCACAAAGAAAGTCGGGAAAAACGGTTTCTCACAAGAAAAGTAGATTTGAAAACAAAGCTGCCCTCTTTGGGTCAGGTCACAAGTCCAACCAAGTTGCTTGTTAGCAAAACGGAGACAAAAGCAGGAGCCCATGTAATATTCATCTTTAAATAACTCCCGGCTTCCGAACAAACCTCCCTTTAATGATCAGCTTTGGTCCCACACTTTGACGTCTGCAGTCTCACAGTGCTAGGATTCTAGAAGGAGGCCAATTATGCCAAACTAAGATAATTGCGCATTCTGACCCGAGTTAAGAGCAGTTTGAGTGAATGGATGAATAGAGACTTTTTTTGGGGGGTTGGAGGGGTAAGTGGGGGGGGGGGGGGGGTGGGGTCGAAAAAGTGATATGTATTACTTTAGAACAAATAAATGTTCTGCTGCGGCATTGATTAAATACTCTCCTCGTGAAAAAAATTACATTTTGCGCAGAAGGTTGCTGAAGGAAGAAAGCCTTGTACCTATTGAAAAACTCTTTCTCCCCCACTTCCCTCTCCCCCACTCCCTCCCCACTCCCGACCCACAATAGGATAGCGCAGCCACTGAGCCTCACCCTGTCTATAATGGCTGGGAAAGGGCAGTGTTTGACTGACCTGTGTCTCAAAGATTCCCATTGACAAATATTCAGATGCTGCTCCTGAAGTCTGAGGCTAAATTTTATTAGCACATTGTTACACAACATCCTGTCCTGATGGCACGTCCATCCCCCCCTTTAAATGCAATGCGTTGGCTTGAAACGGCCCACACTATTTTCAGACATGTTCCGCTTCCTCTGCTAACTAGTCCGCACCCTTGGAGCAATCTCGAGGGGATAAGGAGGAACATAAAAGAGGAAAACGAGGAGGAAAATCTGTTTGGCATATTTCACAGCACAACGCCTTGAAAGCATTGTTTGACTCCTTTCAACAACCAAGAATCTCTGTAAAGAGCCTCTTATCTCATAAAGATGTTTAATAATAATCCTTGCGTTGGATCTAGCGCCTTATCAACTCATTGAGCTGTCTCAAAGCGCTTCACGGAATATACTGTAAAATGGATTGACTGTGTGTTTTGTGGGCGAAACGCGGCAGCCAATTGTGCACAGCAGCGTCCCACAGACAGTCGTGGATTGAGTGACCAAATATATATTTTTTTGAAAGGATTATTAGGCCAATCGACTATCAACTGGGTTCCTACTTACAGGCTGGGTAAACAGAGGTGTGTGGAGTAAGGAAAGGTTTCACCCCGCCTGGGAATTGAACCTGGATCCTCCGGCTTGCGAGGCGAGCCAGGGGACTGCACGTTGACATTTCTTTATCTTTTCACGGAGGATCAAATCCTGGCCCAAGCTCAGGCCATGTGGTTCACCACTGTTGTCAGGTTTACTGGTGCTCACAGCAATCTGCTGCACACAGTATCTTTATTTCCCACGACACCATCGGAAGAACCTTATTGTATTTGTTATTGGAATAGTGAACTGTCGAGGGAGATTACGTTTAGAAAGCAGAATGGAGGAAATGGCCATTCATCACTGAAGTTAGAAACTTTTTTTTACAATAACAATAATAATGATAATCCTTGCATTTGATACAGCGCCTTATCACTTCTTCTATACGCCTCAAAGAGCTTCACAGGATATACTGTAAAGTGAATTGACTGTGTATTTGTGGGCAAAACACGGCAGCCGATTGCGCACAGCAGCGTCCCACAAACAGTCGTGGATTGAGTGACGAAATTATTAGTTTTTTTTCTTGAGGGGTTATTATCAGGCGTGTGGAGTAAGGAAACTTGCCCAAGGTTTCGCCCTGATCTGCCGGGAATCGAACCCAGGTCTCTCGTTTGCGAGGCAAGTGCTCTAACCACTGAGCTACGGAACATGTCGTAAAAAAACAAGCTCATATAAAGGATTGGTCGGGCTCCCACAGATTGACACACACTGATGGGACTCTAGCACTCAGCGTCCACAATGCCTGTTTATTAATCCAATTTCCTTTTTGTGATGCAAAGTTCCCATTGACATTGGATATGACAGCGCAGCAGGTCACGCGTGGAATTATCGAGTAATCAAACTATTACGTTAATTATACCGGTCAACGGAAAAGCACTTCTTGTGTGAAACGCACCACTTCCGAACGCCAGAGGTCAGGCAAAACAAAAAAATCCCTATAGATTAGTTTCCGATCAAGCTATCATCTGCCGTACAGTATCCACTTGTTAAGGGCCAGTGATAGCTATCAAAATAGCCTTGCAAACGAATTTCAAGTGACTAATACACATTGCACCCTGAGTAATGGGGCTCACTTCCAACATCTGGGTGGTACAAATGCATGAGTCAGCCTCACACCCCCAACTGCAGTAGAACAATGTAGTGCCGTGTAACAGAGATAAGGAGGAGGCGAGGGGTCATGGTTAACAACTGCATTAATAAGCGGCCACAATGTGCTCAGGAAGAATGCGCCTTTCAGCCACGATACAATGAGCCACAATTGAAAATATTCAGATCCCTCGGTGTGAACTGCGTTTGTTACTCAACGACCAAGTATTGAGATGAAGAATTCTGACCTTCTGAATCCCCACGTTATGAATTATGCACCGACCCAGCATGATATCATTGTGTTTACTTTGGAGGCCGCCTCTTGCTGTTTGGGGGAATCTGCTGCTACGGGGATTAGCTGTTATGTGGCACGCTGACATCTTTGTGATTCTGTTATTAAAAAGTTTTCTTCGAAGAAAACTTCCCCCGCCATCTCCCCTCCTCCCCCCACCCATGGCTCAGGGAGGTAGAGCCACTGTCTCAATTCTAACTGGGTCAATGCAAACCCTGGAGATCCCGCATGGCTGTGTTGATCTCAGTTGGAAAGCAAGGTGGCCTTGGCCTTAGCACAACTAAGTTAGGAACAGGTAAACACAGCCAGACTATCCACTGCTGATCCTTGAAAGTGCACCTTTGTGGGCTTTGGAATGAGGATTTTCACCAGCATTTACCACTGAGTTAGTTACCAAACTCCTCCAGTAGCTCGGTTCTTGATAGCGTGAAACAGAGTTCTACCGTGGTTCATAAAGGGGATCGGGGAAAAGGAGCTATCATTTTGGCATCTTCAGTACTAGGTTGGGTTGAGCTGAGGGGGGGAGCAGCATAGCAGGCAAGGTTGCTGTTCCTGATCACTAGTTAGTGACCCAACTGATGCATCAACTTATATTAACGGTATTAACAGGGGAGAGGGACAGACAGCAAACAGAAAGCAACGTCATGAGAACACAAACCTCACAGTAGTTATTAATTCCCACTCCAATAAATCTTAACATCTTTAAAGGCAAAGTGGAGGGGATGGGGGAGAGGGGATTTAATAAAGAAAATCTGCACAAGAGAGAGTTCCACTTCTATATGGAAAAAATGCAAATTAAAGGGAATTTTAATTGCATGGCCTACTTTTTAATCAAAACAAGAAAGTTTTAAATAAAAACACCTTTTTATTAAAGGAAAAAGAGAGCTCAATAGAATTTCTTTCGCATTTTAATCGCAAGGGAAAAGTGGAAGGGACAAGTTTTATTATTCGAAACGCATGCTAGCGATTCATTCATGTTTTAAGCCCTAATTGTTACCAGATATTACTTTGCGTTAAATAGGTCAATCTTGGGATTCTTAGAAAAACTGTTGTTATTCATTAAATTGTTAACCTTATTAGTGGTGAAAGGCAGAATTTTTCAAATTCCCAATTTACACGACGTGCAATTTTATTTGATCTCAGACTTGTGATGAAATCTTGGGAGACCTTTAGCACTCTCAGAGTTGGCTTCCCTTTGGGCTTCTTAACAACAACAACTTGTGTTTATAAAGCACCCGTTATGCGGAGTGGTGTCCCAGATCACTTAACAGCACAGAGCTTGATGTCAAGCCAGGGAGAGAGGGGACATGACTGTGGGCAAGGTCGGAGAGCAAGGTCTTCAGGTGCGATCTGAAGATTCGCCAGGATGGAGCAATGACGGGCAAGGAGAGGGCAATTCATATTTGCAAAATCTTAAAATTACCAAACAAGTCACTGTTTTCCCTCTGCCTTCTTACGTCACACTGCAGACTCTAGATTGCTCCCCTCCCACCGAATTTGGTCACTCAATCCACGACCTTTTGTGGGACGCTGCTGGGAGCAATTGGCTGCCGCATTTCACCCACAAGATATACAGTCAATCCGTTTCACAGTATGTTCTCTGAAGCGCTTTGAGACGTCGTGAAGACGTAATTAGGCGCGATATCAAATGCAAGGATTATTATTATTATTATTATTATTACAAGCGTCAACACTAAACCTGATGTAATACCCTGACTAGTCAATGGTGACAGTATCCTCCGAATGCTCCAACACTACATGAAGGCGCCCTTTAAGGAATACCGCAAATTTGACCCGTTTATGTGATTGCCATTGTAAATGTATGCACGCTTACAATCTAATCGAGAGTTAAATAATTCTTAAGTGAATAACTTATCAGTTAACATCGACAGCTTCAGTGTAAAAGTATTAAGGTTTTTATGTGTGGATCTGAACCACACTATAAATATGTTCTGATCGAATACAATGTGCAAATGTGTTGCCATGTTTTGTTTCCCTCAGTAGAATGAAAGGCATCTACATTGTTGTGGTCTTTTTAAAATAGATTGTGGTTACTATAAGAAAAACCCAGAGATACTGGTGAGGAATTTGCTATTTTGATCTAAAGGAAAGTGAAAGAGAGAGAGAGAAGGGGGATGATCCAAAGAAATTTAGAAATGTGAGAGCTGAAAGTTTCACAGGACCGATATATTTATGATGACCTTTCAAAACTTACGATCTTGCAAAATTGCAGGAAAAAAATCTTAATTCAGAAGCCTTTTTTTTCCTCAAATGAAGACTGAATTCGAAAACGTTCCAGAATTCTGCGCTATCTCAAAGTTTAAGTCAAAGGTCTTGCGTTGCTGTAACTCTAGTCGACTGTTCCAAGGTAAAGGAAGAAAGGGAAATGGTTTACTAAGTCCTGGCTGACCTCTCTGAACTTGTTTTCTTGTTTGTGTGGCACAAGTTACACAGCAGCAGAATGAGTATAGCAGAGCGCTCCAAGTGTGACACTGACCTCAACTCAAAAGCTTTAAGCTGTAATCAACCCTTCCTCTAGATGATGAACACACATGTTTGAGGCCGCTAGTAACTTCTCACAGAACAAAGAAATTGGCAGGTATGCTGGAGGAGGTAATAATTTCCACTCGGCACACTTCCTCTGTTCTCAGGGAGCTTCGGGAGCCGAGCTCCATTCAGCTTTTGTGCTGTTGACTCAGAACTGTCGAGAATGTGCTTCAGACTATCGTGAGAGAGAGAGAGAGAGAGAGAGAGAGATGGATGATAAAATCACATGAGGTAACACTTACTATGAAATAGGCCACCAGGGCTCCCTGTACGAAGCCAGCCAAAACGTCCGTGGGATGGTGCTTATGGTCTGAGACACGAGACAGCCCAGTGTAGAAAGCCATCATCAGCAGGGTGAACTGCAGCAAGGGGCGTAACAGCCGACCTCCCCTCCATGTGAACCGAGCCTGCAGATAGAACTGTAGAGAGAGAGGAGAGAGAAAGACAAGAGCGAGGCACGTTATTAGCTTACGTGAAGTCACAGGGATGGATAAAACACAGAACACGAGAGAGAGGTTGCCAAGCGAATGGTTCATCCGCGAATACTTTCCTACTCCGCTCTCATTACACCACCAAGTGATTTTCTTTAAGCGTCTGTCTAAGTTTCCTTTGAAAAGCATTGATGGGCCCCATCTGTCTAACAAGCAACAACTTGCATTTACACAGCGCCCCTCACGTTGGGTAGCGTCTCGGAGCAGAGTCTAAGAACGAGCCGGGGGGGGAGAGGGAGTGGGTGGGGAGGGTTGTCGGGGGAGATGACCGTACGCACGATCAGAAATAAAGGTCTTTCTAACCTCCCCGTTAATGGTGATTAACCAATTTGCCAAACCCTGGATTCTATCTCAATCCAGACCCTGGCGGGGAATTTCCACGCTGGGTTTATTGCGCAGCGAGATCCATTCGTTCACAAAATTACCACTCGCAAATCCCAAAGGAAATCCTATTCGCTGCAGCGAGGGTTCTGAGGTGTCAATAATCATCAACGTTGAGCAAACGTCTCATCAATGGCGATGGATGTTTATGTTTAACCCATTGGCCACCGAAGGCATCATTTGACATCAACACAGATCGGAAGTTAAAAAAACCAACAGTTGTTGAAACCCCAGCAACTATTTCTTTCATCCCGTTCCCACAATATTCCATGTGGTTTGCTGGGTGCTTGCCTGCGTGGGGGCATTTTCACAAAGAATTTAAGCTGGGTATCACCCCCAATGTGCTCGAGCCCCTGTACTCTGTCTGGGATGGCATGTGTGCTTCATACTCAATAGGCTAAACGCACCTGGTTCAACAGGAATGAGCTTTGTGTTTGATACAGTGACAATAATGTCAAGAATGTCTCAAAGTGCTTTGCGTAGCTTCCCTGCAAATCTCTGCGTCCCTTTTGAAAACCGGAGCCCCCTAAATTGCCACCAATTTACCCCCCCGCCACCACTCTCCGGGTACAAACTCCGCACTGGCGCCCAAAGAGGCCTCAACATTTGCGTTGCTAAATTAATACGGCAGTTTACTGATGACCAGAAATAAATAGGAGCGACTGCCACAAAGGATCTGGTGAGTTAAGAGGAAAATGCACTGTGGGCAGGACTTGAGCTTTGAAAGTAAAGATTAAACCCAGGCGTTGTTCCCAGCATTGAAATGATGACAGTCCCACAGTATAGTGTGCTGGTGTGGGGGTGGGGGTGTGTGTGTAGGAATGATCTCATGGCTGTTTCTTCGCAAGCCACAGAGCGAGCACTTCTTCCCAGTTCCTGTGGGAATACGATAGAGGAGGAGGGGGAGGGTGGGGGTGAGTAACGACAACGAAAGGAAGAGGTAACAGGAAGCACAGCACACTTCCCAGAAATTACAGATTCTGAGCTAGATTGGCCCATGAGATCGGACGGTCAGACCACAAGCCCTGGAAACGACTCCAGCAAATTGTTGTCTTCCTGTGCAAGCTTAAGGAAGAGGTGGGACAGGGTTTGGTGCAGCAGGTCTGAGACTGAGGCTCATCACAGTAATCAGGGTTGGGTGACCCAGTGGGAAAAGCTACTGGTCACATCACTCACCAGGAAGCCAGGAAGAAGTGTCCCACCCCAAGGGTTTTGCACGCGTTTCAAAGAGTAAAGTACCAATGCGTTGATGTACTCCTCTAAAGGATTTGCGATTATCTAAGGGGTTTAAGTAATCCCATTGATCTGAACTGCCGCGTAATCCTAATGTCGTGGGGTGGGGAAGAGGTGAGCTGTCTGTACATTCACTGACATATTGCTTATTCGCGCATCTTAAGACTTTACAAACGGCTGGTCAGAGATAGCGTGGGGAATACACCCTCTGTGTGAAACTCTATGCAGAAACACTAGTGAGTTCCACTCTAGTGACTCACAAATGTGGATTGGGACTACGCCATGTCTCACTGTCTGACCTTCAGGATTACTTGGAATCAAGTCACCATTTACACACACGCACCATAACACTGCACAGGCCTAGCATTGCTAAATCTGCAGTCTGCAGTTGCATAACTTTTCCAGAAAATTTGTCTCGGTCACCTTATCCTGAAGCGCACACGAGGAAACTCCAAGGGCTCTTAATTGCCAGCTACAGTTTCTCTTTCCAGTAACATGATGAGAACTGACTGGGACTTCAAACAGCCCAAAGATAATACAAAACAACTCGACAAATACTCAACAATTCCCATAAGCTACTGTAGTTTTTCTAGCACCAGAGCTGGTTATTTTCCTTCATGGATGAAATGGTGCTGAAATCCCCCTCTATGTTACGGTTTTGAAGCCCCCTATGTTGCCCGCCAGGCCGGTTTTGAACAGATGGATCACATCTCGAACCGCCAAGAACTTTAATAGTTTTCTTTCCCTTAAATTTCCGTTTCCTGCTCTAATATTTTTTTGCCAATGTCAGCAACTTTGTTGGGTTCCTCACTTCCATTTCACTTTTATTTTCGTTGCTTCGCTCTTGAGAATTACTTTAGGGTCAAGTGGCCATCTACGCCACCAGTGCCTCCACAGCCACTCGGAGATGTAAAAATATTGTCCTCCTATGAATTGGTGCTACCCTTCAAATGAGATGTTGTCTGTTTTGGAAGACGCCATTGATCGAGTCGCTGTTCAACAAGAAGAGAACAATAACTTGTATTTATACAGCGCCCTTTATGTGGGGCAAGGTCTCAGAATACTTTTTGGAGAAGGGAGTTTCGACAAGGCAATCCCCCAGTTAAAATTGCTCATTCACTTCACGGTTGTTTGTGGGACACTGCTGTGCGCAAATCGGTTGCTGCGTTTCGCCCACAAAATACATAGTCACTATACTTGGTGGAGTAAAATCGTGTGAAGTATTTTGAGACGCCCTCCAATTGTCAAAGGCACTGCTTCAAATGTAAGGATTATTATTATTATTATTATTATTATTATTATTCTAAATTGGAACCGAAATTCAGAACGTCACACCTAATAATAGATGAAACTTTGAAGAGAGGGAGCCACAGGGAAATCAAGCTGTTGAGTTGACAGGACTCAAGAGTATGAATGGAGATCTTTAATCTGAATATGCTGTAAACTCACAACAGATTTAGTTGAAGGAGTAAACAGACCATAAATGAATCGCACTGCAGTACAAACCCAATGATCTGGTACACCGAGGTCCAGTTAAATAAAGCATATTGTTTTTCACTAATACTTGTCTGCAGTTGTCCCTTCCCAAAGAACTTTGACATCCCACACAGTAATTAGATATTGGTTCCTTGCCGTTCTGATGGCTCGATTAACTATTGAATGGGAACCGCTGGGAAAATTGACCTTTTCTGTCCTTCTGCCCTGAGCTCCAGTAACGCCGCTAATATATTTGGGGCACTTTGAGTCAGGCTTCGTTTCTGGTGCAACAACAGAAGTCGCTGATGTAAGGTCATGGACCTGAAACATTAACTCACATTCCTCTCTCCGTAGATGCTGCCTGACCTGCTGATTGTCCCCAGTGACTTCTGTTTTTATTTCAGATTTCCAGCATCTGCCAGTATTTTGTTGAGTTTCTGGTGCAGCCTGAGCTCTGAAAACTCAGGGCGAACCCGATCACAGTGCCTGTCACTGAAGCTCCACCTGCAGATGATACATATCCTGAAGCACCGACTGTTGCACTTAAAGGACATATCAGGAACCAGGAATCAAATCACTGCACTGCACAGCAAATCAGGGAAATCATCTTTATGTGATGACAGGGACACTTCTTAAAGAAGAACTTACAGGGGGAAAAAAAGCCTTTAAAATCAAAACCTGGGATTCTCTGAAAAATTAAAAAGAAACATTTGATTCCACAAATATTTTCTCCGATAGCATCTTCTTCTATGTGTTTTTAGAGACTCTTTGCGTCAATTTCCCATGCAGTAATTCCTACTTTTAGACACAATTTTCACAAGAAAACAGAAGCACAAGTTGACCTAATGCTCAACTGCCACCCTTTGATACTTGTGAATAATAAATGTACTGATTTTGCACTGCACTAATGGATTGTTGATCCTTTTTCTGTTAAACTGCTTCACAGATGTGTTCGTTTAAAAAGAATACTGTTTATTGAACTCTTTCCCTTTCTAAAGAAGCAGGAACTGTATTTTGCTGCCACAATAATTTTGCCACAAGCTTTCTGAGAAAGCAGGTTAGACTTCAGTGCCTGCTGCAACCACACACATAATTACGGTACTGTAGACCTAAATCGTTGCTGCAGGAAAGCTACGATGGTTATCTCAGTTTAACTTCCGCACTGAATAGTTTCTGACAGACGCGATAGTTGGCGAGACAACATAAGGCTCAGCTGAACTTATTCCCGCAACTAGAATTGCCATCCGACCAGCGCACCTCTTCGCCCTGAAATCATTTTAAAATCATCCGCGAGTCTGATATTGTGCTTTGCACGTCATCAAAACATCTCGAGGATTTACAGTAAATCGTGGTGTCTGCGTGTTTGTAGGTAAAACCCAGCAGCCAATTTGTGGGCAGCAATGTTCCACAAACAGCCATGAAGTAAACAACCAATTCTTTTCTCTAAGGCAGAAACGGCCAACTTGTGGCCTGCGAGCCTCATTACACACGTAAGATTGTCACGCGTGTTAGCCATCCCTAACCTAAGGGATTGTTGGCCAGGCCACCAGGATAAACTCCCTTCTCTCATCATTAGTGCCATGGGATTTTTAACATTCATCTGAACAAGCAAACATGATGTCGATTTATTGTCTCATCCCAAGGACGGATTGCAGCAGAAAGGGTAGAGCAAAGCGTCAGCACAAATGTGGCCCAGATTTTCTTGCAAAGCATCCAAGGAGATGCCTGTTTATCAAAAGTGATGAGGTACAAATCAAAGTTGCTGAGAGAAATACAAATGAGGCAAATATTTGTGTAATAACTTGTTTTTGGATAGCTTTCGAAGAAGGGAGCTTTAT